AGTCCCCATGTGATTTGATCCATGCTGACCTCCCAGACCTTACTGTGGACCTCCCTCTCTCACTCACTGTGCTCCACATACACTGGCATCCTTTGTGTTCACTAACCACCAAGCCCATTCCCAATCAGAGTTTTTGTCCTGGCTCTTCCTTCTGCTTGGAAGGCCTTTCTTCCAGGCCTTTGCTGGCTGACATCTTTTCATCATTCAAGTAACAGTATTAGATTAAGTAGAAAGGAATTTAGAGACCAAATCCTTGAAGGCCTCATAGACATCTTAAGGGCTTGGACATTACATTATCCTAAGAGTAATAGAAAGCCAATGAGGGGTTTCAAGCAGGAGAACAATAGAATCAGATTACATTGTTAAGACATCATACTGGCTGTTCAATGAAGAAAGGACTGGGGCAAAGGATGTGTAACATGAAAGGGAGAAGACAAGACAGGAGGTGACTGTGTTAATAGCTGAGAGAGAACATGTCGGTGACTTGGACCAAGGTGGAGGTAGAGAGAAATAGCAGATCTGGAAATAAAACCAACAGACTTGCTAATGGATTGGTTTCATTCATTTATTCAATCATTCAGCAGTTTGTTGAGCAACAAACAAAAATCTCTGCCCTCCTGAAATACATTTTCTAGTAGAAGGATGAAGAAATAAGTGGACCTGGGAGATTGAAAAAGTCGTAACGTTTAAACACATGAAGGGAGAAAGGGTTCCAGGTGTGAGAACGGATACAAACCAAGTCTGCGAGGTAACATTCATTTGAAAACTACCAGTGTTCAAACCCAGCAAGTTCCATGGAGGGGAACGTGGGAAGGCCTTATGGATTCTGGAATTCCTCATCAAGGCAGTAGAAAGCTAAGGATGGTTTTTGACCAAAGATTCAAATTTAATTGAGTCAAATGATCAGTGACTGCCTAAGAAAAATGGGAAAGAGTGCTTTGCAGAAGAAGTCCTTCAAAATCTTCCTACAAAGGAAGAATTAACATGATCTGGTTGCTGGGAGTTGGGATCAAGGAGAAGAAATCATTCATCTTCCAATTTTATTTAATGGTCATTTTTATTTGGTTTAGCTAACTTTTTTACGTAGTTCTCTTAAAATAGGATTTTACTCTAGTTGAATACCACAGTCCAACAAAACCATTTAACGGCAAAACTATTTATGCATAAGTGCTTTTGTGTTATAATTCCTCTTCACTAACGTACAGTAGGCAAACTTATAATGGCCTTCTCAAATTGATTAGGAAATTTGTTTTCCAGAAGCAGTGTGGCTTGCCTAGGATCATTGAAAAGATAAATGGCAAAATAAAAAGTGGAATACACAATTGCATTTGGCTTGCTGCATTAGTGGCTGACTGAACACGACATGCCCCAATCATTACTCTGTTGCTAGACCAGGCCAGAAACCCCATGCAGAACAGAAACACCTGTAGTTCTGCCTCTAAGATCCCAGTATTGCAAGAAAATAGTGGCTCAGACAGTCCCAGTTTTTCCCAGGAACCCTCTGAGATCAATACAACAGACTCATTACCTCAATGAGTAGCAACAGAAGGAAATCCTACAGTTCTAGCCATCTGAGAAGGAATCCTTGGCAAATTCTAGGATGCTCCAATGTGAGGTCTGTCATGAAAGTGACCATGACCTTGAGAAGTCAAGGTAACTTTAAAAGATCACATAAGGGAGAAGCAAAGCAAATGGCCAAAGAACAGGACTCTGTGCAAAGGCTCCAGTGAAGCAGTTCTGGGCTCCCCCAGGGTCTCTGACTTTATCTCAGGGTTCCCTCACTGCCACCAGCAACTGTCCACGAACAAAGAAATGGGAGAGTCTCTCTTCTTGTTTTCTCCAAACGTTGCTGTGAGTAAACCTTTTTATGGCTTCTGAGTAAGTTCTCACCTGGGGTTAGAAGTGCGGACACAGTATCCCCTCAGCACCCGACCCTCTGTTTTGTCATTTGCCAAATGTCTTCCTGGGAATGATACTTCTTGAGCTTCCTAAATTTTGGCCTGTCCTCTTAAAGAGGCTACTTTCTTCACTTTTAAGATAAAACCCAGAGAATGGGGAAGGGGGATACAAAAATGAGCCTAAGCAACAAAGGAGAAAGACAGAGGAAAGGAAAACCTAAGCTCTCAGATGGAAGAGCTTGAAAGTAATCAGAGGAAATGCAAAAATAAATCATGTTATTTGGGATTAAGGTGGATAAATGGAAGATTCTTGGAAGACTACAGGACAGCACACAATTTCACAAATCACTGTGAGGAGACATAAAGAAACCATGGCTTCCATACACTCGCAGACGAGCTGCCCAGAGGATGCAAGTGGCTGCCTCTTCCCAGCTGGGTTTAGACATTATAATTTCCAGTGATTTGGGCAGTAATTCTGAAATTTTTAATTAGCTCTCACTCTCCAGCTTGATATTCTGTACAAATTTAACAGGTATTTGACCTTCAGCTACACTTTGCCATTGCACCTTGTTTTTCCAAAGTGCACGAGCCTATGAGCTCGGTTATGTTTCCCCACCCCCCTGTGGGATGAGCTGATCCACCAGTTTTGCTATTCCAGTTGGGTGCAGATGAAGCAGATCTTATTTAAGATACTTCTCAGGCCTATATGCAAACAAGTCAAAACAATTATAAATAACAAATGCCCCTTAAAGGAAGGGGTGGGGGAAATTGATTAGCAGGAAGCAAAATATTCCCCTGTGAAATTTTTCCCCTTATCTTTTTTAACCAATTATTTCATGGAAAATCCCACTGCAAGCGCTATGTGCACAGTGAAGTCTTTCAATAAATTTAATTATCACATAAAACTCATACAGTAAGCTTCTAGATATGGCCTCAACTTCAGAAGATTTGGGTTGGTCTGCCAGGAAGTCCAAAATCTTAGGGAGCAGAAGTTACAACCCAGTTCAAGCCCAGTTCAAGAAGTTTGTCACTTCCTATTTCAAATAAATAAGAATGAAGGAAGAATACTTTGCTTTTCTTTCCATCTAAGGGAGTAGATGCATTTGAGAGTGGGAAAGTGATCTGCAGAAATGAGGAGACCTGAACACATTCAGTTACACCCAGGGATCAAACAACTAACTAATTTAAGGAGAGACTACACTGGCATCTTCAGCCCCCAAAATGCCTTTAAAAAAAATACTCTAACTCAAAATAGTAAATGCAGCCTTGAGTACTGGGGTTTAAGAGAATAAAAGATAAAACGAAAAGAACTTTGGAGAGAAGGCAACCTGTGGTGGGAAGAATGAAACCACAAAACTGTTTTAAGCACAGTGCTCTACTTCTTAATGTAAACCACAGATTGTTTGAGCCTGTGATCAAGCTCAGCCCTTGGGCTCCCAGGAGCAGGGCTTCCATGCTGGCCCAGCCCTGATTGGCAAAGATTGTCTGGGAGGGGTGTTTAAGAAAAGAGTAGGAGTTCTAGCTTCATTCTCTCTGGTCTGAATGAAATGCAACTCTGTTCCATTCAGGTGTGTAAGGGTTAAGAAAACGAGTGCACATTCTGGAAACAGCTGGAAGCCATTAACAGCTCTGAGACCATCTCAGTGACCCAGTTAGAGGGTGGGTGGCCTGGCAGAGATCCTGAATCCATGCACATATACGTAATCACAGACTCCTAGCACTGGGCGGGGCTTTATTTCTACCTCCCACCCAATGTGGAAATTGCCTCTCAACTGTACAGACTCTGCTTGCATACTTCTAGCCCATTCACTGCTCGTGGGGCAGCCCATTCCTACAAGGGCAAACTCTATTACCAGAAAAGTTCTTCTTGGCCAAAGTTGCCCCCATAGCAAGACTACCCTTTAGTGCTAACTCTGCCTCTGGTTTCACAACACAGAACAGTCCTACTTGTGAAGACAACTATCACTTGCTTCCAAGTTCTCTCCTTCTTAGGGCCAAATCACCCATTTCTGCCAGCCACTCCTCACATTTGGTAGTTTCCAAACCCCTGCTGAGCCTGCTCACTCTTTGAACGGTGCTCCTGTTTCAGAGTCCTTTCTGAAGAATAGGGCCCAAAACAGAAAACACTCCCAGCTCAAAGGGCACCAGTATAGTGTCATCTAGGAGTTTTTGCAGGAAGCATTTTTTTCAGGGAAGGTGCAGCTGTTCTTTGTAGGTCCTGCCATTAGAGCATCTACCCACCACACCCCCAGGCAAGCTTGCAGCTCCAGAAGACTTGCCTAATACACTGCGCAGGACTAGCCTGGCAATTGCTGTCACAGAGCCAAAAACGAGGGAGGAAAGAGGGAATGAAGATTCCTCTGGGTGCTCAGCATGGAGTTCCAGCTTTCCACCACATTGAGGCAGATAAGATCACCCCCATCTTGACCACAGGTCTAGGACCCATCCTCTAGTACCAAGACAAAAGATCACTTTCATTTTCTATCACCCCTGTCCAAAGACCTTGGTCCCACAGCCCACATAGAACACAAGCACTCAAGCCTCCTTCGCCTGGCCTGGCCCTACCGATCTCAGCCCTCCCACCAGGCTCCTACACACAGCCTCTGCTGCAGCAGGCCACCCTCGACGGAGCCAGTCCTGAGCCCTAGGCCCATGCTCCCCTGCTTGCCTTTCCTGGAATAGCTTTCCTTCCCCCTGTAAGGTTGTCTGAGAGTCTTCCCTTTCCCTGGGCTAGCTCCAGGGCACCTGAAAAACAAGGGCTCTCCAGCCATTGACTCCAGATAACATTTCTGGTCACTGGAAGTGGATCTCTTCTCAAAGTTCTCTTCAATTAATCGATTGTCTAGAATAATACAGGAATGAGCCTTTTGTTTTTGCTCTCAGCAGTTAAATTCAGTGGAAGGTCTTTGTCAGTTATTTGGTCTGAGGAGTATCCTAATTAATTACATCTTTGCTTTCATTATATGGAGGGTATCTAAGGTCAGCCCAGGCTCTGGCTTTCATAGATTACCTAAACGGACATTTATGACCTAACAGAGTCACCCCATACATATGTAAGCTGACACCATAAGGTGTAATTCTGACCTAATTTTATATCCTCAGCTGTGCCTCAGATCAACTGTGATGTCAAAGCTGGAAAGATAATCAATCCTGAGTTTGTTGTGAAATGTCCGGCAGGATGCCAAGACCCCAAATACCACGTTTATGGCACAGACGTCTACGCTTCCTACTCCAGCGTGTGTGCGGCTGCGGTTCACAGGTGGGCAGTTCCGAGCTACTTAACGACTAGCAATCAGGGTGTGGGCAGGGAGCCAGTGCCGGCTTGCCTGACTTAGCAAACAAAAATGTGCACATTTAGCTGAGCCTCCTGATTTTATCCAGCAACCCTATCCCATGGGATTCTGCAGGAGCCGTGTGTTGTCTCAGATGCCTTTCCCAGTGCTCTGTGGATGGGGCAACTGGCTTCTTTTTACACTTTAGTGAAGATGGGAGGAAGACTCATGTTTGTGACAAGAAAACCAAAGTTCTTGATGATGTAAAGCATTTTTTTCTACCTGTATGTGCTGAGCAAGGAAATACTAGAGATGAGACTAAGGAAGGCCCAGAAGCCTGGAGAAGAAATGTCCCAGCCATGGTGATGGCCTGAGACAAATGGAACTTGAAAAGTGAGAAGGGGACGGGAGGTGGCACTGTTCGGTCAGCTGTTGGTCTGAGGTCCAGGCCGGAGGACAGGAGGCAGGCCATGCTTCGGACTAAGTCACTGCCTAAATGAGGAGCAGCAAAAGTGACCACCACAGAAACCTCGAAACTTTTTTTTTTTAGGTTTAGAGTCAAAGCACAGGACATGTCTATTTATTTAATATTTTTGATAATAAGGTTAACGTGTGTGTGTCAAGCACATCACCTGTGATATCTTACTTAAACCTCACAATCCCCCTATGCAGAAGGTACTGCTATCATCTACACCTTAAGGATGAAGAGAAGCGGGGACTCGAACACAAGCCTGCACCCCTAACCATTGCCTGGCACTGCTTTGAGATGTAGCTCTGGAGTCAGGACTTGGATGATGGATACTAGGTGAAGTTTCTGAATTATTTAGGCTTCTGGTATCTTTTTCCTTTTTCTTATTTGTATACCAGTCATTTGATTGTTCAGTTGTATCTCTGCCAGAGAGAGGGGAGAAAATGTAAAATTCATTCCTCTCTAAGGTTTCTAGCCAGTAGCTTCTCTGAAATTTGGAAAAGCAGCAAGCAAAAAATCTACGTGTAAAATAAGAATGAAGAATTACTAGTAGATTTTTCTGGCCACAGACCTCTTTTCCCCCACAATGCAGACAGATGATGAGCTAACTGATTTTTTACCGTGGGCATGACTACAAAAGCTCTATCAAGGATGAGTAGTGGAATATTTTTTAAAAAAATACTAAATGCTGTTTCTTAACTCCAGACTATGGAATAAAAATATTTTGCATTCACTCTGAAGTCGATTTCATGCAAAAAGGAAAGAGGTATGTAAATCGACACCCACATGCATGGGCATGAACACACGTGTGTGCCTCCCACACATACTTGCACACGTGCATGCGCACACCATCCCTGAGCACACACGTGCATGCCCATGCAGCTCCGCCACATCCGCACTTTCCAGTCTGCAATTCAAGATGGTTGGCTCAGGCTCCCTCTGGCACTGCCTGGCATGTCTCCTAGACAGGACAGAGCCACATGAGTTAATCTGACCTCACCAAAGCTGTCATCATAATGGCACTGACCCCTTACACTGTGATTCTCTTTTTAGCATCATCTCAACCCTACAAGGGTTGAGCTGTTAGCATCCTCATTTCTCAGAAGAGAAACTAAGGTATAGGGAAGTTAATTAAATTGCTAGTGAGTTGCACATTCAGGGTTAGCACTCACATTCATGACTTCCAGCCCAGACCCGGGTATGCCTTTCCATAGGAACAGGGTGGCCCAGAACTGCTTAATGTACAAAGTGAGGGTGTGAGGGGGAGCTGGACCTTGGAGCACGAAGAGCTGGCAAAGGGTTTATGATGGATGGACTCCCCTCTAGAGAGAAAATGAAAAAGGCATTGACAGGGACCAGAACTCTGGAATTGCAGCATCTGAGTTAGAGTCTAGGAATTTGCTGGGAAGAACACAGATGAGGGCAGAGGAGCAGAGGGGAACAGCTTGAGTGTGTCAAAAACAGGATTTGCTCCTTGAGCAACTGAGTGTCACTGCAGATTCAGGGCTAGTGTCTCATAGAGTGGGAAATTCTATTTGGAAAGAAGTATCACTGCCCATGGGGCTGATGAACAGGGGTCTTCAGGAATAAAGATACATTGTTGTGGATGCAGCAGCAGGAGTCTGTTTTCCGAAGGCAGGACTTAAGACAGAAAACATAAGCAGAAAGTGCTCAAGGGGGCCCCTGCCATTGTCCTGCCAGAGCCCGCCTCCCATGTCTCTTGTGGTCGTCAAGGGTCTGGTGCAGTTGGCGCCTCCTGTAGGTTACAGACCACCGCACTCCCCAGGAAATGCCCTTCTCTAAGAGAATGTCTGGGAAGCATCCGCATCCTCGGTGAAGTCCACAAGATGAGGCTTCGCTCTCTTCTACGACGACTGGAACATCGCGTGGGAACACAACAGTCTACACCCTCACCTTTCCCAAAGTCTAGGTTTTCAGTCCCACATAACCTTCTCAAGGGAGAGCGGCAGCCAGGCTTGAGAGCCCCCTGGGCCCTCCACACGCCTTTCAAATAGGAAGTCCCCTCACTCGGAGCCGCGGCGACAGTGCGTGCTCTGACTTAAAACAAGAGTGAGGGTGTGCCCATGCACTTGCACAAGCACGCGCACACACACACGCTTCCTCAATACAATAGAATATAAAACCAAGAGCAGAATAGTTTCTCTGGGGGGAAATAAAAAGCTGAAAGTTATTTTTATTTTGCCCATTAGTCATAAGTAAAGGGACCATGGGGCAATTCTTTTCAATAATGAGAATTATCTGCCTATGCCAGTGGTATGCTGGTAAACGTGGCTGATTTACCAATTTTTGTGGTATAAATACTCCCGTCACGTCTGATTCCATGCTAGTGGTGTAAAATGAACCAGCTCCCACAATCCCGAAAGCTTAACAATTGGCTTTGGGAAGCAGAGGCTACACCCCACTGACAAGCCTTCTAATACAGAAGCATAAAACACGGTCCTTTCCACCAGAAAATTTCCAGTCTATTTGGGAGACAAAATTAACTCAATAAATTTTTAGGAAATAGCACAAGACCAAATAAAATCTCAGTTGTGAGACAGAATTTTAAGGTGTTGTTAGGAAGGGGCCTAGCAGAGTCCTGTCTGAATCTCTGTGGGGAGGGCGTTAGGGACCAAGTGGGCACAGAGACAGGTGAGTGAGTGAGAGTTGTGTGGCCTGTGGGGCAGCTGAGACCAAGCTGTCTGCAGCTGCGGGGGGGGGGGGGAGTGAGGTAAAGGCTTCTGAGAGCTTCTGAGAGAAAAGAGGGCAGGATTGCAAAGACGTCAGGAGTTAGCTTCTGGAGGGACCTGTGCTTTTGAACCCCGAGAGGCAACTGTGACCAAGTGGAACAGACCCAGGATTCCAGGTCAGCTAGACCTAGATTCCAATCCCCATTGTGCAATTTAGTAGTCACAACCTCTGGAGTCACCCAACCCATCCGAGCCTGGTCCTGGGAACTGGGAGTGACAGCGTCCACCTCATTCCACAGCTTGTGGGTTTGCCAAGGGGACCCAGAGACAGACCATGTGGGAATGATTTTAAAGCAATTCAGTGCTTTAAATGTCAAGTACTATTATTGCTTTCTTTTCTTCTAGACCATGGGGAAGCTGAGCACTGAAAGTTGTTGATTCACCGCAAAGTAGGAGAGCAGGAAATGGCAACTCTCATTCCTGAAGGGAAGGAAGGGTGTCGATAAAAACAAATCGAAGTACCTTTTTTTTTAGCTCCCTGTGCCATAGATTACAGATATCTCAAAAAGCCGCTTTAACCTCTGAGGCAAAGAAATGGCACCATGAACATGATATTCAAGAACCAGAACGGAGTCTCTGCCTCACACAGAAGGGAAGGGGTAGTTTCGCCACATCAGGATCTAAAATCCTAGAAATTAAATAAACAATTCCAGTCTTTGAGGACTCTTTTTGATGAGTTTAATTTAGTTCCTTCCCTGGCCTAAAATAAAAGCAATAATTTGCTTCTAAAAACGTCATTCCTCCAAAGGATCGCTGGTTTGATTCCCAGTGAAGGCACATGCCTGGGTTGCAGACCAGGTCCCCAGTGGGATGAGTGAGAGGTAACCACACACTGATGTTTCTCTCTCTCTCTTTCTCCTTCCCTTCTTCTCTCTCTAAAAAAATTAATAAATAAAATTTTTTTAAGTCTTCATTTAAAAAAAAAACATCATCCTGCACACACCCTGTGAAATAACTGGAGTCATTCTGTGATGTTGCTAAACCAAACTGGGAACTGTCGGGAAAGAAGTTTCACTTAAGAGAACAGTAGGAATGAGGAAACCACGGAGAAGAAACCTGAGGCATGGTGGCAAAGAGAAATCCCTGACGGACTGAACAGTCTGGTGCTGTGATGAGCAAAAGAAGGACGTCTGAGCTGGGAGGTGGGGGCTGGGCTGAGGCCTGGTTCTGGGCTGGGCTGCAGGGCGGCTGCAGGTCAAGGGAAACCTTTTCGTCACCTCACTGCTTTCCTATCACTCAGTAAAGATGGAGGCTGGTTTGATACCCTACTGATCAGCTCAAATAATATTTCTTCTGTTCCCCCTTCAAAAACACTTTGTTTCTCTCCACAGCGGTGTGCTCGGTAACTCAGGAGGGAAAATACTTGTTCGGAAAGTGGCTGGGCAGTCTGGCTATAAAGGGAGCCTTGCCAACGGTGTGCAGTCCTTATCGCTGCCGCGCTGGAGAGAATCCTTTGTCGTCTCAGGTACACGCACACCCCGGAGGTGCTGCCACACTCAGGGGCTAAGTGATCTCAAGGGACAAGATGTGCTCTTTTCAAGGTGCCGTTAGTTTTAATTTATGGCCCACCTCATTTCATGAAAATCTGAAGCATTAGTTCTTCTGATAATTAGGATCATGAAACAATGAATTATAATTACAGTGATAAATCACTGCGGAGTCTGGATGTTTTAAAAGGCTCCAATTACTCATTTGAAACACAACTGCAGCTATCTATCTGGAAGCCCAATCAAACTTTTTAATTAAGTGAATTTAACAACTTGGGTTTTTAACTGCTCCTTTTGTTAGGCCAAATCAGTCTCATATCTAGAACCTTATTCCCTGAGATTTCTGGTAAACAAACAGATAGGGACAGGGGCTCTTAGGGAACTGAGCAGGAGTTTTATTTGAGATTTATTTTTATTTAATAACTGTTTCACTAGTCAATCAGTTCTCACTGTGTAGCCTCATTGGATCTTTATCGATAATCATTCTCACTTTTTTCCCCCTTTTTCAAAGAGGTAATGTCAGTGAGCCAATAATGACTAGTGTGATTTCACAGTGAAAAGGTAACTAAGTATCTTCGTGTTGTTATGACCCCCCCTTTTTATATTTGGGAGTTTTCCCAACCTATATTTAATTTACAGAAACATTCAAAGATTATTAGAGTGAATACCTGTATTGCCTTCACTTAGATTCACTGGTTTTTAATGTGCTGCTACATTTGCTTTAACCACTTATCCCCTTATTATCTGCTCACATTTGTCTGAACCAAATATTTATCTTCAGCACACATTTCCTTTAAAAAAACCCACAATGCCAACACCACACCTAAAAAATTAACATTGATACAATATTATCTGATAAACAGTTCTTATCCAATTGTATCCAATTATGTTAAAATAGTCTTCAGAATAATATCTTATTTTTTTGGATCCGCAGTCCAATCAAAGATCATCCATCCATGGCATTTAGTTGTTATGTCTACTTAGTGTCCTTTAATCTACACCTATCTCATCACATCACCTTTTTAGTCATGAACAACAGTGACATTCTTGATTCTGTCCCATAACCTGGACCACAAACATGTCCAATCATATCCTCATTATTGGATTTGGATTAAATATTTTGGCAAGGATGCTACCCCACAATATGCCTGTTACATCACATCGCAATGACTGTATCGGGAGACACATAATGTCACCATGTCTGACTACCGGTGAGGCTAAATTTGATTATTTGAACATTTTACCTTATCTCTCCACAGTGAAGACACCTTGTAATTAGCAAGCAGTTTTTGGGTGATACTTCAAAACAGCATGAATAGCTTGTTTACCAGCGAATCACCCATGGTTTTGACATCTGATTGATGATCCTTGCCGTGGCAAGAACTACATTAGTAATTGCAAAATTGTAGTTGTTCTAATTCTATCACTTATTCCACATTCATTAGCTACTATTTTTGTATAAAGAAGAAACTACCCCCCGTCTGCACACTTAGGGTTCAAATTAGACTGGTTTCTAAGTCAGAGAGTGGAAAGTCATCAACCACAGTACAGGTTTGTCTTGGAACAAAGAATTTAGAATAGGGGGGTTGTGAAAATGCTAATGTCTAGAATACAAATTTGTTGAGCCTAGAGAGAAATATATCTCTGCATAGGTGTTTACCAAGTAGCTCCAGGCTAAATAAGAGTATTTTGATCTAAAGTACTTCACCTGCAATCCAAAAATCCCAACAGAGGCTTAAAAGAAAAATTAATTCCACGAGACTACCAATTTGCTGAAATTATTGCCTATAACTCTCGACTTCCACATTACCTCATTCCATGTACTGACATTTAACCAAAAACCTTTTTGCCAACAATAAACATTTGTGCTTCTGTAGCAGTGAGGAGTATCTTTCGCAGGGACAAGTTAGGAAGTGCCCTGAAACAGAGGAAGGGTGTCGGCCGACTGGGGACACGGCACTCCCCCCACAATCCATTGCTCAGAGTCTCAAGTTTTGCAGAATCATGTCAGAATCCTCAGATGGCCCAGATGCCTCCAAGGCCTTTCTCTGGGTTTTTATTTCTAATTGTCACATGCCCTTGCACTCCTTTACTTAATTTGCATTAGTCTGGGAGGGGGTTGGAAAGGGGAAGGTGCATTTTTGGTCAGCAAAATCTTTGGAAAGTCTAGGGATGAAGAGGTCAGGGGGGACCTCCTAAAACTGCCCATTTGTTTTTGATCCACGTTTCAGGAAATGGGGCTTGTGCTCCTTTCCCTTCTGAATAGACATGGAAAGGACCATGGGGGTTTTGGAAGGAGAGGAAATAGAGACCGTGTCTCGGCAGCACTCTGTTGCAGCCGGACCTCAGCCAGGGGCCCTCCCTGCATCTGAAACAACCTCCATTGTTGTCTGTTTAGATCAGGCCCTGACAAGGGCAGAGGACCTGGAGATGCCGAGCTCTGCTCCCAGGTGACGCTAATGACACGCAGTAACTCCTCTAAGCCCAAACATTTTGCTCCATCCCCACTTTGAGTGACATTTATTGGTAATACCAGATAAAATTTTTTTGCATTTCTACGGTGATATGTAGTTCCCAAACCTTTAACTCTGTTTCCATGAGACCCTACGACTCTGTGTAGTAAGCTGATTTACATCAGGGTGCCTATTTTCTAACGGAAAAAAACAGGAGTCTCAGAGGTTGAGGCAGTTAACCAATGGCAAAACAGAAAAAAAAAGTGTATATATTTCTTAATCATTCACATAATTTTTGATTATAGTTTACATTCAATATTATTTTGTATTAGTTTCAAGTAAAACTTAAACTTTCTTGCTCCCAGTCCCAAACTCTTCCTGACACCCCATTATTTTGTCTGCTTCATGACCCTATAACCCTTGGTGACAAAATCATGTACTAGATTCTGTTTACCCACCCCTGGGCTCGCCATTTAGCAACCCTCACCATCTTCTCCCTACCCCTACCTTATAAAAATATTCCCTCACACTGAGAATTACAATGTTTTCGTTATCAAATGGAAATATTAGATAATGGGTATTTGAATTTTAACAGAGATCTAAGCATTAAGATAGCCCTTCACTGAATAAATATTTACTGAGCTTCTACTATGGTCAGACACTGCCATAGGCACTGGGAATTCAACAGTGTGAGACAAATTATCTGCCTTGGGGAGACTCTATTACATTCCAGAGACACTTTCTGTTTCACGGTGAAGCTTCCGTCAAGACCTCATGGCGGGGGAAGGCTGCAGGTAACAGACAACCTTTCAGGCAATTGTCAGTCCTGTCCGGCTTGGTACTTGCTCACCCAGCCCCTATCCCTAGACTGCTCTTGCTTTTCATGCCTCCATTATTTCCCTGATACACATTAGCATTCCCTCCCCTGGAATGGCATCTATACTTCCTCTTTCTGGGTGGGCAACAAATGCGAATGTTCAAAGCTGATCCATATTTAACCACTTTCAGGTGTCCCAACAGATCCCACAGGGTCTGTGAAAGAGAGAGGTGGCCACTCAGGCACAGCCAGCCTGGGACCAGAGCCTTCTGGCATCTAAAGAGGAACATGGGGAATGTTTTCACATCCATCTCCTGACCTAATTAAACATTCAAAGCCATGTGTATGAAAAACTCAGCTTCCACGTCCCATCTTCATGGGCAAAATACCATTTGCTAATGCTAACTCTAAGTCATGGAGATTTTATTGCTTCCTTTTGAATACTAATAAAGCACAGGCTACCCCAGAAAACAAAATGCCATTTGACTTTTGTATTGTAATCAACAATTCGACATGGGGTAAACTGATCTTATTGAAATCGAGAAAGATCAACCGGAAGGAGGGAATCAGCTTATCAGAACAGAGCCATCTAAAACCTCTAACCCTAGAAATAAAATCTTTTCTTTTTCTCTTTTTGCAGAAGGTAAACCCCCAAAGGGCATAACCTATCCATTGGCTCTTACATATTCATCAGCTAAAAGCCCAGCTGCCGAAGCAGGCAAGTGTTCATGAGTGATTTCATCTAAATCTTCTGAGTCCGTAAACATGCATTTACTGTGTTTTAGGAGATAGTGTAGAAATTAACATCTTAACCAGTCAAGGCCCACTGACTGCAGGGATATTTTAACTGATGCCAGAAGAGGGGCCCAGAAATCAATGGGATCTGATGGCTGGGACTGAGGGGCAAGGCTTTATTTTTAGTTTTCTGTTTTTTGCAATTCCAAGATTGTCTCTGTGTCTGTGTCATTTTCATTCAGATTTCAAGACTGTTTGTTGCCTTGAATGTTATCGCATTGTTACTTTAGAAGATAACATTCTGCCTGGAAATATTCCCTGGCAGCTGAAAAGCAAAAGGCTATCTGTACTTAGGTATGAAATGAAGGGAAGCAAAGAGAATGATGTGGTTTATGAGATAACAGCACGCAGCTAATCTGCATAACCCAGGCCACAGGCATGCAGTCTCTGAGGTTGTGCCAGCCTAGCATCATGTGGACCACAAAGGTGGTGCGGGTACAGGTAGACCTCAGGCCAAGAAAATACCTTTTTCTAGGCTTCTTCGTTAAAGTGGAAAGAGGGCTATGCAGTGTCGTGTCTCCGGGAGCACTTTGATTTCCCACACAAAGGGAAGCTGTGAGTCGCATTATAATGAGATTTTGTATTGCTTCCAGAAATTTCATGGGCTAGCTGATTTTGTTCATGCACTTCAGGAGGACATGGTTTAAGAATAGCAATGGAAGCCAGCATTTATTGAGCGTTTGCTATGTGCCAGACACTGTTCCAAGAGCTGATTAATGCAGTACATCACCCCATCAGCACCATGGGTGTGTACTATTCTTAGCCCTAATTTTCAGTTTGAGGGAAACACAGCACAGAGAAGTTTAGTAACTTGCCCTTTGTCACACAGCTAGTAAGTAACAGAGCTTAGAATCAAACCCAGACATTCTGGCTCCAGAAACTTCTCTCTATACCATCAATCTGTATTTCTATGCTAATAACAGTGGATATAAAGAGTCCTGATTTGAGAAGCCTTGGCATTCAAATAGAAAATGTTTCTCATTTTTCCCCCTAGTTACTTCTCCAACTGTATCTTTAATGATGTCTTAATTATTCTGTAATGTAGACTTGTTTGGGTTGAAGTGAGAGGTACAGCTGCTCTCCACCCCTACCCCCAAGCCGGCAGCAGATGATGGTGGCTCAGGGACCATTCCTGAGATGCCTCCTTTCCTCTTGGTGTGGGCACAGAGAACAGGAATAGGTGACAGAGGTGCCCTAAGTGGCCCGTTGATGGAGGGAGAGTGTTCTGGCCTCTCTGTTGTCTCATGTAAGCCAGCAGTTCTCAGGGATTTCTGAGCAGGCAATAGGTGTGGGCATATCTGGAGCCAGGGGTCAGTGTTCAGATGCATCCTGGTCTCCTCTTGTTAGACCAGGGAGCCACGCCCCACCTCTTTCGCTGAGTTAGGTGTCTGTTCCTTAGCTCAGCAGCCTCTGGGCAACCCCTTTACACAGAGCCATGGAAATGGCTTCTTCCCCTCAGGGGTTAGAGGAGAACAAGAATGCTACTTATTTTCTGTACCTTTTCCCCCCTTTTCCTTCTCCCTCTCCCCTATTGCTAACCCTCCATGTGATCTTAAAATATATATTTTTAAAAATAAAAATAATAAAAATTCTATAGGAATCATTTTTAAAAATATAAACAAATTTTTTAAAAAAGAATGGGGTAAGGTGTCCTTTCTCTTCGCATCTCACTGCACCTTTGACTTCTGAGCCCTGCACCCCTCCCCACTTCAGAAAAAATCTCTATGTTCAGGTAAGCCCCCCAACTTCAGGGGTTATGTGTCAAGTACCCCCTATTTTTACACAAGAGAGAAAAATACTTCCAGACTCCAAAAATGCTCCCCCAAATTCAGCAAGCTCTGTTTCTGCACTGCACCAAGTGGGCCCTTGGGTGCTGTGGCTCAGAAAGATGGGGGGGGAGAGGCCTGTCTCCCCTCCCTGCAGGCCCCCGTGGTCTTAGTGAGTGAGTCCATTGAAGCCCCTTTTCTTGGCTTTTGGGGAAAATAAGGCTTGAACAAAAGGAGGAAAGATTCTTTCACCCTGAACACTGCCGTCCCCAAACGGTGGCTACTAACCCCTTCTTTTCTTCTGGTCCTTTCCCTCTGCTGCCTGGCCCTGGTGAGGTGGGGTCAGTAATCATGCGGGTTCTACTCAAATGGCCCTCAATGTGGGAAGTTCGGTGGCTCCCCTCCTCCTTTAGAACATGGTACTGGCACCTTCTGACTTCAGCTTGGGGCCTTAGCCAGAATCCAGACAACAGGGAGAATCGGGACAACCTCCTGCAACTGCAGCTCTCGATGGTCGATGGAGTTTTTTCTCCATGCCAGATGCCTGTACGTCACAGTGACCCTGAGGCAGAGTGCCAGCGGAACTCCACTTTCAGATAAGGAAGCTGACCCTCCGATATGCTGAATCCCTTGCCATATGAAGGGCACCACTCCGACTGGCCCACACAATATTCAAATGCTGATTGTGTCTCCTCAAAAGGCGGTAAAGTGTGGGGAGAGACGTTACAGCCAAAGAAGAGCTTCTATTATAAAATCCATTTGGTTTCTACATTCTCCACATCAGAGATCATTCCCCAAACTTCTCTATCCACCCCAGGCACCATGGCCCAGCTCACCGCCATCCACCCCCGGCAAGTACTTGTTCCATGTGCCTGCATCACTGACACCAAGAAGAGTGCGGGGACGCCGGGCAGGCTTTCCTGCACATAAATTTCAAATGAGCAAAAGCCATAGTTAGAACCTCAGATCAAGTATTGCTAGTGATGTCACTTGTCCCTCCACCAAACCATCTCGACCTTCAACAACACTCTTATTGGGCATTAACTATCCTACTAGGAGATCATATACAGTTGTCATAGTGGGAAAAATTAAGTTCACTCATTCCTTTATTTATCCATTTATTCAACAACCAGATATTGAGTCCCTTCTATGTACCAGGCACTGAGATAAACTACAAGAATTCCAACAAAAAAGGATACTTGGGATCTTGCTCAGCTTCAAAATACAGGGCCATCTCTATAAAGCGGTAGTCCCACCATGGGGTAAATTTCACCAACTCAGAAAATTCCAGTGTGAACTGTAAAAGGAGGGCCCCTGTGTTGCTGCTCTTTCTTAGGTGATAAATTCCTGTAGAAAGTGGGGGAAAGCAAGAGAGTTGGAAGCCAGCGGCCTCCCAGGTCTCAGCATGCCCCTATAACATGCTTCCTGATCCCTCCAGGAATGTGCATTAACAGGTAGATCAGGTAGGGATGACCCCACAAAGCATAACCACCTCCACAATAGAAAGTATCTTGATTTGCCCTGGGCAGCTCCTGCTGAGGACAGACATTCCTGAAATGTCAATGCTGTTCGCTCAGATGCAAGGGACCAGAGGTAGCCAGTTATTATTTAGCTGGAACCTCAAGCTACTCCGAGCTAAATAAAAATAGGCAAGTGTTTGATTGATAATCTGCAAGTAAGGTGTACTGTCAGTTTATTTACATATTTCTCTCCAAATTAATAAATAAACCCCATTTCATAAAATACATAAGTGATCCTATTAAATGGCTTTTCCCCATACAAATGAGGGAGGTTGAACTTGGGGCTTCATCTCCCTAAAGAGGCATTCATGCTGATAGCATTTACCAGAGGCTAAAACAGAAGAGGATTTCAGAGAAATCAGAAACTTCCCCGAGACTTGTTATGAAAACTCAAGTCCTTTAAAGTAATGGAAATGCCATAAATCACAGGTACGGCTTTGCCCAAGGACGGTGTGAAGACTGGCCAGACCCCTGAGGCTGCTGCCAGCTCTTCAGCAATTTGTCCGGCAGAGTCCACAGGCCAATTTTAAGGTGGAACAGGGTAAATGAGGGATCTGTGTCCTGCCTTGACAGGCCAGTGCCCACAGGAGCATCCCCATAGCAGGGTGCTGTTGACTGACCTGCTCCCCCAAGTCAATGCTTCGACTGCTGCAGAAGGTGAGGGTGTCAGGGTGAGGGAACAAACAGGTGCCAGTGCTGGGCAGTGGATCTGAGTACCCTGCCTACACATTTCTCTGCAAAGTTGGTCCAGGGCCACAGTAGACACAGTTTTCCCAGCATGCTGAACAGTGTGAAAGGGGAAGCTGGATGGCTCCCACAAAGGTGCAGCACCTTCTTATCGCAGGGGCTATCCTCTAGGCCTACTGGCCTGTGTACCAGAAATACACCCGCCAGAACCAAGTTAAGGCTGGAGCTGGGATGCTGTGGTAGGCTGAATCATAGCCCCCCTCACCCCTAAAACATCCATGTCATAATTCCTGGAACCTGTGAATGTTACTTTATATTGCAAAAATGGCCACTGCAGGTGTGACTAAGTTAGGGATCTTGAGAGGGGGAGATGATCCTGAATTACCTGGGTAGGCCCTAAATACCATCACAGGTATCCTTGTAACATGTGACAAACTTTAACACACACGCAGAATGGGTCAGCGGAAGATGGAGCAGAGAGAATTAAGGACACTGGCCTTTAAGATTGGAGTAGTATGGCCGCAAGCCACAGTGTGCCAGCAGCCACCAGAAACCACAACAGGCAGGAAACAAATTCTACCCAAGGGCCAACCAAGGAGTGCAGGCCCGCTGACACCTGCAGTTCAGCCAGGTGACACGGATATCCAACTCCTGGCCTCCAGAACTGTCAGAGGACACACTTCTGTTTGAAGCAACCAGATTTGTGGTAATTTGTCACGGCAGCCTAGGAAATGAATTCAGATGCTCAGATATGGAAGCTGGCAGAACCTGCCTCCATGGGGTCCAGCCGGCATTTGTGAGGGGCCGGTTGCCCTCCCGAGGCTGGGCTGCTCTTCCTTTGTGGGGCTGTTTTGTATCTCCTTCTGGCCCAAACCCACAGTCCTGAAGACAATCCCAATGCCCAGTGGGTAGCCACTTGTCCCCTTGTCCTAAACCTTCAGAGATACTCTCAGGGCACCCAGAGTAGTAACAAACTGAGACTCATCTACAATTTCAAAAGCAATCTAGATTGTTGAACATGGACAAAGGCACAGTTTGGAAGCAGAATCAACACGATCCTTACAAGCTAATTAGTTCTGTTACTTCATTTGACAGATGAGGAAACTGAGGCCCAGAGGACTTAGTTGACTAGTCATGAACCAGCCTACACTAGAAATCTAGAATGCATTCTCTAAAAGTAAAGTGAGTCATAGCAAAAGCCAAGAGTACCTTCTATCTGTGAGCCAATGCTAATTAAAACACCAAAAAGTTATGTTCATGACCCACTGCTTCTAGCATCTGGAAGATTAATTTGGCGATTAATCATGTTGCTGCCTTGTCTACACTTTTGAGGCTTGAACCATCTCTTAAGCACTCGATTGTTTGATCTTTGGTGTGTATCGGTTTATTGCTCCATCTAGATTGTGTATCCCTGCAGGGCAGGTGGGCTTTGTTCATAAGCTAGTGTTCAATAAGCACTTATCTTACTTCTGTCCTGAAGAGCCTCCTCGCTAATTTCACTTTCTTACAGGTGAGACCACAAAAGCCTATCAGAAGCCATCATCAGTTCCAGGGACAACCGCACAGCCAGTCACCCTGACGCAGGTACTGGGGACCACCCCAGAGGAAGGCACCCACACCACCTTGCCAAAGCCACCCCTCTCTGCAGACTCTACCACCAGCGGCCCCAGACCACAGCCCGTAGGCCACAGGAGCCAGGAGCCAGGTCAGTAGGTAGACCGTTTCCACACGCAAGAAAGTGGGAGGCTGGTTTCTAGATTAGCCCCTCTGCTGAATGCCTGTGTGTAGTGCCCTTCTCCCACCTTTAGAATTGAGTGAGGGGGGAGGATGCCTGAGACCTGGGCCAGGGATATATGGTTGTATTCCTCCAAATTTGAGGGGTAAACCTGAGCCCAATAATAATAGCTCGGGATCAAGCTAAGAGCGAAGTGAACCATGTAGAAGGGGCTTAAAATAGATTCAATAATAGGAACTTTGTTATCATACTTTTGAAGGTGAGATATCGCATGAAACTTTCCCATTACAAAATCCTCATTTTTCCCAATACTCAGTCAAAGGGACAGGAGGTTTCTATGCAAGTAGTCTTAAGTTCTGTTTTGTTTTAAGAGACAAATTATAGACTCCTGGAAGTTTTCAAGATTAGAAACAAACAAAACCAAAAGAATCCCTTTAGGAAAAGCCAACTAGCCAAAACTTTTCTTCCTTTTCTGATTACTTTTTGTCTGACTACTTGTATGCATTTCCTAAGTCATGTTTTAGGTTTTACCAAAGTCCAGTTTATGGAATCATTCTCAGTATTACCTCGAACAGAAGCTTAGGAGCTCATCGATAATCCAGTCTTCAGTCTCCGTGTAAGCCACCCTGGGCTAACGAGTGCCTCCCTCACTCCGGGCAAGGGAGTGGAAAATTCCACCCCTGAAGTGCCACTACTGTCTCGGCAATTTGCCCCAAACATCTCCCACCTGGTGCCACTGTTTCCTTCAAGGAGGAAGTGCTCAGAACTTGTTCTCTTCAGCCTCACCTCCATCTTCTAAATGTTACAGCCACACAGCAATGCCCCCCACGTTTGTGTCAGAGCTAGCTCTCATTCCATTGTTTTACTTAACAAACATGCATAGCATTCTTGATGTGTTATACACTCTCCTGTCTTACACATATTAGCCTATTAAATCCTCAGAAGGACCCTCTCAAGCAGATATATTACTTTCAGTTTGACTGATCTGTTGTAGCGACAAGGAAACCAAAGAGGAGGATGGTGAGGAAACTAGCCCCAAATCCCACAGCTGGGCAGAGGCTGGGATTTGAACCCCAGCATCCCGGCCTTCCTGTCACTCCCCTTGCAGGAGGCGTCCCTGCTGTAAACCAACACCTAGGCACTGATGAAGTGTCACAGATACAGGGCCTGACCCACCTCGACATGGAGGGGGTGGGTGGCAATATTAGAGGGTATTAGACCCCATCAACTCCCACCAGGACTAGGAATAAATAATGGACCGCAGATAGTCCATACTTTCTGTGTACCAGGCAACCTGCACACATTATTTTATTTACTCTTCCCACAAGCCTATGAAATAGAGATGATTATTAGTCTAGTCGATGAACAACTATAGAAGAAGCTATGATATGAAGTCCCCAAATGAAAATACCATAAAAATAATTTCAGAAATACAACAGACACTCTCCCACCATCCTGTTCTTGTTCATCTCAGGCCAATATGAACGCAGGCACTCCATGGCTAACAGCAAAAGAGAAGACACTTAGGAAGCATGCTGGGGGGCAGGGGTCCCATAGGCAGACATTTTCCTTTCTCTTAATTTTAGGCTGTAGACTTTAGGGCCCTTGATTCTTTCAAACACTTTTGAGTAGCTGAGTAAGTTTTTGTTTGCTCTTCATGCCTCCTTAGAGGACATCAATTTTTGCATAACACATATAATTAAACATGTGGCATATTTGCTTGGCTACACTGGAAGCTTGGAAATCCTGTTACAAGTTGGGCCTGTGCTTATGGAAAACCTCAAGCAACTTGAAGCAGTGGCTCCCAACCTGGCAAAGCTTCATTATTCCTGGCTTGGGAACAGGAGCCTTGGACGACAGCCTCCCCGCCCGTCAGCGTTCCTTCTTCATCCTTGTCCAGCGCCCACACCCCTCCTGCCCCACAGACTTCTGGGCAAGGACTCCCAGAGCAAGCATCCACGCAGCATACCCTGGAACTGCTAAGAAAGGAGCCAAACCAGGGAGGGTGCGGGGAGGAAGAGAGGACTTTTAGCAACTTGTATTGCCTACTCAAAGGACCTTCTGTAGGACTGAAGAAAAGTGAAAATTGATGCGTGAAGACCTACATCTTTTTATCATAGCAACTTTACTGAGGTACTTTTCACATACCATACAATTCACCCATTGAAAGTGTAGAATTCAATGGCATTCAGCATGTTCACGAAGTTGTGCAATCATTACTACAACCAATTTTAGAACATTTGATCACCCAAACAAGAAGCCCTGGACCCCATCACTAGGTCACCCTAATCTCTCCCCGCTCCAGCCCTAGTTTGCCACCAGTCTACTTTCATGTGCCTACCTTAACCTATGGCTATAGATGTTTGTTGTAATATTCTATGCCAACGATATGAAGTAATATTCAGTTTACAAATAACCCCTTTGTGTCTTCAAATGAGCTGGAAATATTCTGCCAGTTATAAGAGAATAACTCTACTGCTGATAGCAAGGAAGTTGCTATTATTGTATTTATTGAGAGTGTTTTTTTTCTCTTATTTTGACTGTAGTCAGAAGATTCCAGAAGTGACTTGGATGAGGGTGTTCTAATTCACTTATTTATTCAACCTATATTTATTGAGTGTCTGCTATGTGTCAGGCACTGTTCTAGGATCTCGGGCTACTTGGGTGAACACACCCCACCAAGATCCCTGCAGCAGGTCACTTCAGCCTAAGACATGGGAGAAGTGTGCAGCGGGAACAGGAGCCGCCTGCACTTGGGGTCCATGACTCATCTTTGCTCTACAATAAGACACAGAGCTGCCTCTCAAACAGGACACAGGAACTTGGAAGGATTCAGTAGAAAGGAGAAAGTGTAGCAGGAAAAAACAGGAGAAGAGGACTGAAGCAGTTGAAAGGACTCCAAGGAAGATAGGGCTGGACACCAAGGCCTCAGAGCCCCCTAACTGATCCGTGAATGTGCAAAGTTAACAAGATATTGAGAAAAAAACTCAAGGCTGAGGGTAAGGGATCCAAGAGCCAGAGTGACAGAGACCTCCTCTCCCAGGCAGGAGTTGGACTGTTCTTCAGGGAGAGGCTCTCTTGGCACCCACAGGAGCCAGGAGGCCACAGAGCTGTATCCCAGGGCCCCGAGTGGTGGGGAGAAAGGGGGGTGGAGGGCAGCCTAGAGAACCATATCTATACATACGCTGAGGAAGGAGCTCTGGAAAAGATGGCCTACCTACAGAGTCAGCTGAATTTACCACATGTCTACAAGGTAGAGTGGCTATTCCCAGAATTATTTTCCTGGTCAGGTTCATTTTAAAAATCTCCATTGTTGTCTCATCTGATCTAGCAATGCCTCCACCAGGAAGGGAAGACCAGGGAGGGAAGCAGAGAGCCACCTAGTGTCAAGGCATGGTGATAACTCTGATCGTTCACCTTTCTACTGTACCCTCTGTCAAAGATCAACTGGAGAGAAGGAAGTGGTGAAACCTGGGGCGGGCAGGGGACCAGCATCTGTAACTGCCCGTCCCTTCCTCATGCAATTTCCCTTTCCACCAACACTTATCTCACCTCTGAAAGTTTAATTTCCTTAAGGTGTCTGGGGAAGGTTTTTCTTACAATCCAGTCTTACAAATAGGAAGACAAACATTCCAAAAGAAAAATGGGTGAAGGTCATGACCAGGCAAGCCAGAGTGGAAGAACTATAAATGGCCAACAAATGTAACAGGAAATGGTCGACCTCACCAACAATAAGATAACTGCAAATTAAGCAATATGTCATTTTTCACCAATTCACATTGGAAATTGATAGTCCACAGTTACGGCAGACTGTGGAAAAATGACCCAGGATTTGCACTCACAAAAAACATATTCTAAGGTAATCACCAGCCACGGGTGAAAAGTAGCCTGAACACAGATGGTGTTCCTAACAGAAAACTAAATGGAAAAGAGCTCATTGTCCACCACCAGAGCAGTCAAAGAAGTTACTATGCAGCTATTAAAACTGTGACGATGACACGCACTTACTGACAGGAGAAGACTGGCCCGTGACAAATCGTGAGTTCAAAGAAGTGGGCTACCAAGCAGCGTGGGCACCAATCTCATGTTGTTGCTGTGTGCTGTGCGTGAGAACACTGCATAAAAGAGGGGATGCAACGCCATACACCAAACTGTACACCAGTAGAGACTGTGTACTCAACACAAGGGATTGCACTGCAGGTGATTTCTCACTCTCCTTAGCACGTACATTTACAGTGAGCATGTGTTGTCTTTATAATTAGATTAAAGCTATTTTGAGTCATGTCTAAATAACTGGAGCAAAGGCAAAGGGGATGGGAAATTGATGGCAAGTTGATTTGGTTGCAAGAGAAGCTGATGGTTTTCCATAACCTCTTATCTTTTCCCCTCCATGCAATTTGGTTCTTTCCCTCGGCTGGTTTTACCGGACCCTCTTTCTTCCAAAGGGATTTTGCATCTCTCTTTATAGAATCTCCCATCAACATTCTCCTTTTTTTTAAAACCTTGCTTCAGAGACATTGCCCAATGAATAATGAATGCTGAAGTGTATTTCATCCTCTCACAGAGTAATTAAGGATAACCCATTGTGTACCTTCAAAAATGACTGAACGCTAATGCTGTTTGCCTCAATGCCACGTTAACACCGTTTAAGCAAATTGCTAAATGTTAAGTGACATTTCTATTGAAGGATTACTTTAACCTCCTCAGAAGTGGCACAGTCAAGGAGAATTATTGTAAGAATGATGAAGTATAAAGAAATACAGCTTTTGTAAAGGATGTAAAATACAAGGGTTATTATTACCTGGAATTTTCATTCCATGGATTGAGTTAAATTCTTTTTTTCCCCGTTTCAATGCCTCCTCCGGGGCAGGTTCAGACCGCCCAAGGACAAGCTTTACCTTGGTTCTGGCCTCGGTAATGTCTTCTAGGTTAGATCATGTAAAGAATGAGAACAATTAGAGTAAAATTTA